TTTTCCTTAGCACTCAACTAGACTTCTGTTTCACCACTTCTCCTGCAGGTAGGTGTGGCCCTTGGAGACCTAAGTATAAAATCAGGAGGGAGTCATGTAACTAATTCAAGATTCAACTTGTAAGTATCTCTCTTGTTCAAGTTTCCATTCTTTCTCCCTCTGCTACCTGAATCAAGAGGTACCAAGCCATGTGTTGAAAACAGTAGTGACTTAAGGAACCTGGTTCCTGGAACTACTGTAGAAGATCCACCTACCCAAGAAGCCCATGTTGGTTTGTGAGATGAATGAGAAATAGACATTAATGTGTTAATATTTAAGGATTTATCTGCTATGTAGATAGATCCACCTACCCAAGAAGCCCATGTTGGTTTGTGAGATGAATGAGAAATAGACATTAATGTGTTAATATTTAAGGATTTATCTGCTATGTCACCTAGAGACAGCTCAGGTGACACTTACCAGATGCATGGCTGAAGGAAGGTTGTACACTGTGGCAAGAAGGTGGGAATTCCAAGAATACTCCTCATGGAGTCCAGAAACCTCTCCTAGAATAAGAACGGCTGGAGGGTTGGCTTGGCAATCCCTTGGCACCCCCTTTTGCCTTTTCAGCTTCACTGGGTGAAAATGCTGAGAAGGACTCAAATCTCTGGTTTTCTGTGCCTCTGCAAGGCCTGCTATAAAGTCTAATAAAAGCAGAAAGTGTGAGTAGGAAGCATCTGAAGTGGGAAATGCCGTTAGGCTGGCCCATAAAAGATGGGTGTTATAAGCAGTAAAATGAGCTAAGAAGGAAAACATGATGAATGTTTTCTAGGCCTTAAGAAGCAAGATCCCCTTTCACCATCCCACGTGGCACTGCTGCCTGGCTGGAGAAAGCAAGGGGCTCTGTGCAGAGCCTGACTCAGAGGTGCGGCCGTGAGTTTATCCCCAAGGGCCCTGGTTTGTGGAAAGAGGTGGTGTGGCCATGTTGCAGGGGATGTAGCCGACTCCTCCACCACCTCCCAGCCCCCACTCAACCTTTCCAGAATGAAGATTCCCACCAGGACACTGGAGGGAATTCTGAACTGCCCAAGTTACAGAGCTGACACATCTCACATAAGAAAAGGGAATCCAGAATCATGGTGCCAGGAAAAGCAAGGAGAACATTTGATTTAGAGATTTTTGATTTGACTTAAGAGAATGAACATCCTCATCCCCAGCCCCACTGCCAGTAACTCATCATCCCTTAAGAGAGCCTTTGTCTTTATTGCCCTGCTTTCCACCCTCACACCAGGACACCCTCCTTTCTCCTCAGTTTGTGCAGTTTCCATGAATTCTTCACAAGCCAACTCAAGTTCAACTTTCTCCATGCACACTTCTCTATTTGTTATAGTTCCTTTAAATATCAATTTTAGAAAAGCATAGCAATGGAAAGGCCTGAGTTGGTGACCTATCTTTGATACTTGCAAGCTCTGTGATTTTGTGCACATTACTAACATCTTCGAGTTTCCATTTCCTTATCTATAAAATAGGGATTGAAATACAATCCTGTAGGGTAGTTGTAAGGATTATAGGACACCCTTGCATAAAGTATAAAATGTAATAAAAACTCAATAAAAATGTGTTTCCTTCTAAAATTCTGCAGCATATATGGTCCTTATCACAAATTCAGTACTTTTATTATTCACAGTTTTATGTACATATATCTTGACTCTTTCACCAGGCTGAAATCTTGAAGGTAGAAATTTTCTATGTCTCCACATTACAAAGACTAGTTGTGAGAAAATTGTAGAATACCAAGCTGTATTTCACATTTTTCTTATTAATTATTGTTCATTATCCATCTGATTGCTATTCATTAATTGTTTTTATGATCATTAGTTCGAAACTTTTAACAAAGTCATGTGGAAGGGATGACTCTCATGTTCTCTCAAGGAAGTCATGAAAACGGAACTTACTGGGACCATGTGAAAAATAGATTCTGATTTGAGGAATCTCTAAATTGTTCCAGTCCCAGAAGGCCAGCAGTCAAGCTTCGTCAAATAAGGGTCAATGCTACAAAGCCCTCAGAAGACAAAAATACCTGGCCCCAGAGGATATACGACTAGGAGAAAGTATGAGGCTATGGCTGCCTTCATCATAAACTGGAATAAGCAAATTCTAAGATAATATTTGAATTTGTACTAGCTCAAATGTCACTTTTGTAAGGTAGCCCTAATCTAAATGAGTTTTCATCCTCATTTCCTTATCATCCTATTATTTTTAATTTTCTTAAAATGATTTTTGCAATCTAAAATTGTAAGATTCGTTTTTTGCTAGCATGTTCCATATCAGTCCCCCACTAGCCATGAGGTCCTTGAAAGCAGGAACAAAACTAATTGCTCACTTCTATGTTCTCATGTGTTGACACAAAGTAAGCATTAAATAACTATTTATTGAATTTAACCAAATGAATGGATGAAGCTAATCACAGGCATGGCTCTCTCTGGAAATCAGATCTCCAACTGACAATCATAAGAACAAAAGCATTGTGAAAATTTGTCTTTGTGGCTGGATTTCCTTTAGACTATTCTCCTTTAGCTTGTTGAATGCAAATTGGTACAGAAGAGACTTCTCTGAAATCCTCAGTGTACTTAGCCATGAATCAAACATTTGGCATCAGCCAAACAAATCAGCCCTTCCATCTCAGGCTTCAATGTTCCACTAATGATAAGATATTTCATAAAAGAGAATATTCATCTTTTGTAAGAAGGTTCTAAATGTCTCCAGTTTTATTAAATTACTAGGTTTGAATTGAGATGCTATAACTTTCCTCCAAAACTTATTTTATTGACTTTTTAAATATTATTTTGTTCTTAAACCACCATTCCTTCTATAAAAATTCTGAGCATCCTTCAGATATGCCCCCTATCAAGCTCTACCTCTAATAAAAATAATTTCAGCCTCACCTTATGCTGAACATGTTCTCTGAATTTTCAAAGCCTTTTATATCATTTGCCTCACATGTGCCTGACTGTCTGAAGAACGAACCCTTTCAAGAAAGTAACTATGACATGTATTGTTTTTTTAACCCTACATTATGTAATGGATGCTGGCAAGCTAGTACCTAAATTAAATATACATTAACCTGTCACAGAATACTATAGGAACTTTGTTATAATAAATCATTGTTAATTTGGGTCCCATTGATTTAGAGTGAATGATAATTCAGCCATGCAAACATTTTGCACTACCCTTGAAAAATGGGTTCGGTTGACAAATTCAACAGTAAGAATCAATATGTATTAAGATTCTATAATAGGCCAGGAACTTCCCTAGGCATTGAAGATGCATAAAGGAACAAGATAGCCTTTCCTCAGGAAACATGGGCAAGGATGGAGCAGCTTTCTAATAGCCCTTTGTATGTAATCAATGAGCCAGTAATAATGAATTTTCATCATTTCATTTAAGGGAAAAGAGAAAAAGCATATTCTTTTTCTAGTCTGTATTAAAATTTTTTACTTTCTTAGTTACAGACAGAAACATATGCCTTAATTCAGATGTAGCTGACTTGGATTGTTATAATTAATCCAAATTACCGAAATTTTTTGTACTTAATATTCTAAAACTATTATTGAGATTATTATTTTACTATTAAATGAAAATGTGGAAATATCTGTCAAGTTACTTGGCATATTTTGATTATCTATTACCTGGAACTTCAAACACTATTAGACTTGTGAACAATATTTGGTATGCTGCTAAATCAGAAATACATAACCATAAGCTTCATATGCAGTTGTTTTTAGTATGCCATTATAAAGCCAACGGTTAACTGTGAGATTTCCAAATAGGAGTGTCTTACAAGTCTTGAGACATTTCCTGCCCAAAGAGCCTATAATCCACAGAAGATACTCATCAGCCATTGTCCCAGCTATTTTGGCAATGATCAGATAGCTAATGAAATGGACAAGCATGCCGCTCTTTGAAGTTTATAAAACCAAAGCAATGATCAAGGTTTTTGCTTCCCCAAACCAAGCTCTATTTCCAGTCAATGAGTGTGCTGGCCGATGACCCAAGTCCCCCAGATGAGGCCCTAAGTGAAGTGGGTCAGTGGGTTCCCAGGGTAACTGTCCACCAGGAAATACTCCAGGGTAGAGGTAAGAGCAAGAGATTTTAAATACTGGCTCTGCTGCTTCTCGGTCATATTTAAGTATCGCAGGTCACAACCTTATCATCCTAGTCTTTCATTTGCAAAACAATACTTCCTGCCCTGCATCTCTCATGGTTATTGTGAGGTTCAAATAAGATAATATGGGAAAGTGCTTATAGATAGAATAGTGTAGGCACTTTATTAGTCTAAGAGCACATGTAGTGTGTAACAAGTCAAAATCACTCCTCCTGTGCTGTGATGGTGCATTCAAGGGAGAAGATAAATATTTATAATCAAACAGCCTCAGAGGCACTCTTACCTCAACCCCTTAGGATATATCTTCTTTCCTGATTATCTAAATGCTTCATGGGACTACTGGGGCTCTGGCAGAATGACATACTAACTGCACAGACCCTGCGTTCAATTTACCAGCTCAGTCACTTGCTACCTGAAGGTCATGGTCAAATACTTAACCCTTTTTTAAGTTTTTTCCAGATCTATAAAATGTTGATAAAAATATTACCCATCTCAAAGAATTGTGGGAGGATTGGGTGAGATATTCATATAAAACACATGGTATAATGTCTGGCATGTAGATATCATGAGGATTGCTATTAGAGTCATAGGTTTCTGCAGCTAACAGGAAAAGCAACATCCCAGTAGACTCAGATGTGGTTTCAAGACTTAGTTGCCTCTCTGACAGGTTCTATGATCCTGAATAACTTAAGCTTTCTGAAACTTTGTTACTAATCATAAAATGGGGATGCTAATATTTGCTTCATGGGATCTGTATAAAGACCATGCAAAGTAGTAGAGAAGACAGTGTTGTGTTCACTGTAGCCTAATGCAACTGCATAGGCTGCTATTTTACCCTATGAACAGAAACGTAGGAAACAATTGCAAAGATTTTATTTAGCGGCTTTCTGTGCTTGGCACTTAGAAACAGAGTTCCGTGCATAAGGGCAAATTTCTATACAACTTTTCTTCATACATATTTTACATAACCTTTTTATTGCCCCCTTTTTAATATTCATAATATTGGATTCCCCACTAGACACATAAATACAGTTATCTACAACACTCAAAACAAAAAATTTTAATATCTGTATTATTTTACTTGGTATTATTTTCATTTCCACACCACTTAAAAAGTTTAGTTTGCACCAAACTTCACTTATTTTCTTAACATTAAAGGATTTGAGGGGGAAGGGAAAGATGAAGGAAAAAAAACCCAAAACTTCAAAATGCAACGAACTATTTGATAAAAATGGATACCTAAAGGCAAGTGGAAGGATGTAGAAGGCCCGTCTGCAATTCCCCGGAACATCACAGGATTTCTCCTGCTACAGGGGCTGGGGGGCAGGCCACGCAGGGCAGGGGTCTGGATGTGGCAGGCGGCAGGCCAGGCCTCTGTTTGTCACTTCTGCTCCTGGTATCAGCCATCGGGATTCTACAGTCTTCCTTATGCACACTCCTGTTCCTGTCCCCTGCTGGGCTGCGTGCTCTGGAGCTGGCCCTTCCCCTGTGCTGTGCCCCTCTTCTGGATCACAGCGGTCACAGCTGCAGGATCAAGATGCATTCCTTCCCTGGTCCCGGTCCCTCTCACCAGTGCCCTGACCCACCGCAGTGTCCCAGAGAGGTTTGCTTTTCCATAATGCCACGATAAAGCCGTGATTCTTTCTACAACCTGGGCAGGGGTGGGGGAGGTACGAACCAGAACCCGATTTCCTTGGTGAATCAAAACACATCATTGCTCACACTTCCTCTCTCAGCCTTGCTCTCCACCTTGCCCTTCTTCTTTCTCTTTCTCTCTCGTTCAGCTGCTCCTACTCCCTCTTTTCACAAGCACCACTGGGAACATCAGTGATAGCACACTGAGTGAATAGAGCCAAAGTTCAAAAGCTTTCTTTTTTGGGGGGCCAATTCCAGTTGCAGTACTGATATTCTTCCATCTTCATTGTTGGGAACAGGCTCCAGGATATATGGTTCATTTCAGAAACAGGGTAAGCTGCAGGGGAGAAAGGTCAGCTGCTTACACTGGCCCAGTCCATCTAGTGTTGTACATAGACCAATTCCTGGTGAAAGCACCCATTCTGGGCCTCCCTCCACAGAGTTCGCCCAGTTCCCAATCCGTGTGCATGTATGTTCGTGTATGTATGAACCTGTATCTGAATATATGAGTGTGTGCATGCATGTATCTATGTATGGATGGATGGGTGTATAGGTAGCTCTGTATATGTGTATGGCTAATTTTTCATGGCTGCTACATGTTTGCATCTCCCTTAACATTGTTATAAAATGATTATTCAGTTTCTTCAAAGGCCACTCTAGAGTAGACGATGGTTTATGAAACTAAGATTCGGGAAGGCAGGAGAATGGTCACTGAGTCAGAGATGATTTCATCACACATTTCCTTCAGTGGCTTACATGTCTTTTGGTTGTCCTTGGGCATGTGCTTTCCTCCTCCAGAAAAAACAATAATAATAATAATAATAATACACAGTTACTGTTTTTCAGAGATGTGGGGCTTCCAAAGAGGAGGATCTGTGCATGGAGACTCCGGGGCCTCGGCTGCTGTAGGCTCCATGGCATTTGGACTGGCTATTAAACCATGTGTACCGACATCTGGGAGGAGGATCCTGGGACCGCCCCATACTGCCGGCCATCACAGGTGTTAGTCGCCTGCTGATTATTGGGTGAAGAGCTGATCATGTGCATGCCGTGCTCCATCCCGGTAGGCAGGTACTGCCTCTCTCCAAAGGCCCCATTAGAAGGAGAAGAACAGAGTAAAGTGCTTTGAGAGGCGCTCAGTTTCTCTGGGCTTGCAGCTAGCCTAGGGGAAGTGGGGAAATTGTATCCATACAGATTATAAGGATTGTGGAGAGAGAAGGCATTGTAGGAGCTCTGCTGCATGTGGCTGCCTCCGAACATGTGCGGTGATGAGGAGGTGGAGGCTGCATTGCCTGCCTGCATCACATACTGAAATTGGGAAGCAGGGAAGGACCCCAGCTGGCCTCCATAGGCTTCCATCTTGCTGTTGCTAGGCAACGAGGGAGGAGTTGGTATTCCTGAGATCAGGGATGGAGTCCTCTGAGGCATGAAGGTTTCGGAGGGCTGAGTGGCTGAAGCAGTGCCACTCTGCAGCCTGTTGTAGCCACTGTCACTCAGCGCTGGGTAACTCTGCAAGGCAGCCATGTTGCTTCGGGCACATGGTGGGTAATCAGAGAGGTTTAGGTTGCACAGCTGGCTCTCTCGACAGCCCACGTTGAAAGTGTTGGGGGCCAGATGAAATGTTGGAGGAGAACAAGATGGAGATAAAAGATGAGAAGACGCTGAAGGGGATGGTGTCCCAGTGCTGGAGGTGGTTGGGGAAGTGCCTGTGCTGCCTCCTGAAAAATAAAACATGAATACTATTGAGACAGGAGTCTTTCAAGATGAGTCTGTCTGGGCTAGATGGAAGCCATGCAAGAGACACCCTCATGTCCAAGATGGGCGGGTTTTTACAGAACCATTGCTTTCTCTTAACTCAGCAGACTTATGCTAAGTGAATCTAGACACACACACACTCTTTCTCTCTCTCTCTCTCTCTCTCCAAAAAAAAAAAACAAAGAGGGTGACAAACAGAAACACTAAACTCTTTGGTTTACTATGGAAGAGCCTTATTAAGTCTTACATATTTTTTTAACAATAAATCGTCCACTATTCACTTTGCCATTTCTCACCATCAAATTCACTTTCTAGTAAGACCTCTGGTAATCAGCATTCAGTTCACTAGCTCAATTTTTCCTACTTTCAGTGGAAATGCATTACATGTGTATTTTAACCTGGGACTGTTGCTTACTTCACCATATTTAGTTTTCCAGCTAGAATTATAGGGCACCAATCTCAGTACCTTAATCTAAAAGGAAATGGGGTCCTGGGGCAGGATGCCAGGTCCAGGTTGAGGCATGGGAGAGCTGAGCAGAGGGGCCCATGTGGTAGAAACTGGGGTATGGGATTTAAGTTCTGTCATATGAAAGACATTATGAACAGAATTACAAGAGCTAGGTTAACATAAAGCAAAACTAACCCGAAACTAAATCATTATGATCCAGGGGCTCTGCTAATCTCCCTGTGTAAGAGCCTGCCCAGCCTCCGAGACTGGGGCAAAAGCTGTGCATGTAGTCTTTAGATTTCAGATATTTATGACAGCAAGAGGATAAGAGATCATACAGTCAGGAGGTCCTTGTTCTATGCGGATCACTTACCTTCTCTGGGTCTCAGTTTCTTTATCTAGATGATGAGACATTGAGTTAGATCAGTGGCTCTCAAGCTCGGAGAAGCTATGAGCCTTAAAAAATGCTGAAGTTCCAGGATCCCACCTCAGACAAATTAGAATTTCTGAGATGAGACCTGCACATTCATGTTTTACAAGCTCTCCAAATGATTCTAATGTGCTTGTTGGGGCTGAGAATGAATGATACAACTCAAATTCTTTATTTCAATGCACCCAGAATATTGATTCTTAAATTTCTTTATGTATAGGGATCAATCACCTGGAGGGTTTGTTAAAACACAGATTGTTGAATCCACTCCGGAGTTCCTGATTCTATGGGTCTGGGGAAGGGCCTGAGAATTTACATTTCTGATATGTTCTCAAGTGATACTGATGCTGTTGGTTTAGGGGCCACATGGGGTCAGAGCACCTCCAGGTCCGTTTCATCTCAAGTCCCTGAATCTGTATTTGGGAAGGTTGCTCTTATGACATGTGAAAATTAGAACTGGACTGGTGGCTGATGTAAGAACACAGGGCCAGTTCAACACAACCTACTTCAAATGTGTTCTCAGATAGTTCAAGAAGGCCAAAAAGGACCTTTCCAACCCCACCCCTTTTCCAGGGCCAGGGAGCAACAGTTCCACAGCAACTTCCTGTCTCACCCACTTTAAGTTAAAGATTGTGGTGAATGCTGGGGCTACTGGATCTTCCATTTGAATTACAGAATGAGGAGCTGCTTTTCTTCCATCGGAAACCTCCTGTGATGGAATTCCTCCTCCAGGGTGAGTTTGGGAGTTTCTCAGACTGTTGAGCTCTATGATTCCCCAAGGAGCATGGTACCCTTTAGGTCATCCGCAACTCACGTAGGGACTCTTAGAACTTGAAATGCTCTAAAAGGCCAAAGGACATTTTAAATGGAAAATAACAGAAATAAGGTTTCTATCAGTAAGGGAAATGTGAAGAAAACCAACAGGAATCCAGAGACACTGGGATACAAAGAAATCACTCACAGTATGCCAGGAAGGAGGGTCTAGATGTGCAAACTGAGAGGCAGATACCTCAAAGAGGAACACAAAGTTAATTTTTAATAGGAAAAAAAGAGCCTCAGCCTACATCCATAGATACGGTAGGAGTATTGGCTGTAGAAGTGCAGATTTAGGTCATTAATAGTTTTTTCAGTTAAACTTTTACAAGCCCAACTAGTATCTTTTTCTTGGTCAGAAGAATTTCCCCAATGAACTTCCAAGATAGAACTGGATTTAGAGGTAAATAGCTCCTGCTTTTAAAGTGATTTCAGGAAATTCTTATTCATTGTTTCTTGTTCATGTCTCAGATTTCTTTAAGAGCAAGTAAAAAGATGTTTATTATACAAACTGAGATAAGGGCAACATTGTAAATAACTCTGGAAGAAGCAAACCAGAAGATGAATATGGTAGGAAGAGCACCAATTCTAGGTCCATGGACCTCCATGCAGCTGGACCCGGGCAAGGCAGGCTACCTCTTACTCCTCCTCATCTGTGAAAGAGGGGCTCAAACTGTTAGGTTTCCATTTCTGCACTCTCACAGTTATGCTTGTGTGTCTCAAGATCAAATTTATGCTAAAGTCTGAATGGTCGATAACAAGTACTTTCCAAGGAATCATTTTGATATAATGAAGGAGTTCTGGAAGGGGAAGTCCGAGTATGGGGAAGAATATCTCATGCTTGTTTTGTTGTCTTGGACCACTGAGTGGTTTAGCCCACAGGACCTTACGGGAATCTCAGAGATTCATTTTCCACAAGTGTGTGGTTCCTTTTTGAGGCATCCTACCACATTTTCCTCTTCCATCCTAAATGCCATGAGCTTCAGTGAAATAAGTGCCATGGCACAAATGGAGAAACTTGATTCTGACTGTAAAAAGATTTGTGTTTTATGAGATATGTATCTGGTCCCCTCTCTCTGAAAGTCCATCGCTACTCTCCCAGATCTGGGGTTTATGCAGTCCCTGAGGAGATCCCCTGTTCAGCCTGCTGCTGTGCCCTGTTACAGGTGTATCCCATCAGGCACTGGTCCTAGCCCTGCAGTAGTGCACAACGGAGCAGATGACTTTCTACAACTCTAAATGGTTTTGTCGGGTGGCCCGAGATGGAACGAATGGTACTGATGTAAGGCCTCAGTTGGTTTCACTACAAAATACACACACACACACACACACACACACACACACACACACATATATATGAAGAGAACTATTAACAAGTTACAGGGATTTCTGCTGAGCAGATGAGAGGTTCATATTAAAAACTTTGTAGTCAGCTTGCTTTGACTTTTAAATGACACTTACTGGAAATAAGACTTGGTGTCCTGCTGAGTTTCAGGGGGTGGAAGGCCCCCATATGAACTAGTGTTTGAAGGGGGAGAACAAGCCTGTCCAAGAGAAGGTCACATTACTTCCATTCACGCTGAAGAAATGTTCTTACACATTTGAAGTGCTTAATACAAGTACTAGCTGTTTTTCAAAGTCCACATAGAGAGAGAAGACTATGGTAGTCACTTTGCAGAGAAGCAAACCAAGATACAGAGAAATCTACATTTACGTTTTAACAGCTTGTTAGCTGTTAAAGAAGGCGGAGAGTGCCAGCCAAGTGCTAAATAAGCATAAGGAGACAGCCTGCCCTCCCTGTGCATTTCAACACTTGGCTGCCTAGAGGGCTCTCCTCACTGATACACGGGTCAGAGCTGCCTCTCAAAGAAAAGCATTCCTCATTTCCCACATAGCACTTTTTTCCTTTCACCCTCATCTCCTCTGCACCTGCCAGGTGCAGAATGCTGTAACGGTCTTGAATTAAACATTATTTCATGGATAAGCACGGATGATAGAGGCAGAAAAACCCAGTTCCAATCCCAGCTGTCTTACTGATTACAGGGCCTAGCATGTTAGCCTCTCCACATAAATGGAATTTTGAATATCTACTTTGTAGGGATATTTTGAGAAACAGGTGAAGTAATGTATATTACAAAGTGCAGAGTGCATATAAGCATTAAATATTTGTTTCTCTTTCTCTTTCTCATTGAGTGAACAAATGATGCAAGGAGAAAGGAATCTTGGGCATTTGGGTTTACATGAGAATGGCTCTCAGGTGTTGATCTCTGTCCATGAAACTAGGCATCTCAGCCTCTCCACACCCTGGTAAGCAGTAGGTCACAGCCAGGTGCCAGGATGCAGGAGGCCAGAGGACCACGGCTGGGCGTGGTGGAGCACTGGGCACATGTCCGCTAGGAGCCCATCAGACTCATGTTCTCAAAGGCTGAACCAACTCTGTTTCCTCTCTGAACTCTCTTTCCTTCTTCCCTCACTCCTGGCCCGCTATGCAAACAGGATGTCTCCCTCTCCTCTTAGATCAGGCAAAGTGGAATTGAACACAAATTGGAAGGCTTGTACCTTTCCCACTATCCTCGGAGGTCTTAATGCACTTCTGAGAGGTGATCAGAATGTAATGCCCTAAGTAGCTGAAAACTCGCTGATGATCCAGGACCGTTCCCCACCTGCCTCACCTCTCTGCAATCTATTTCACCCATGGGCCAGAGTGGGGAGTTACTGATTAAAATTCACATTCAACATTAACTTAGCTCCAGTGTTCAAGGCTAAGAGCCAAGCATACATGTTTAGCAGTGATTCCATATGAGGACAATAACCTAAAATATACTTGTGTACCATGAAGGCAAGTTAAATGTGACCATGAAAATCTTGAATACCAAAACCTGCTGCCTTTGGCATCTTTAAATTGATCATTTCCAGATTGTAACATGGAGGCTTTCACATACAGTTTCCTTCTGGGTTTATTTTGTTGTGTTTTACCCCTCTTCCACCCCTCCATCAAATTGAAAAACAGTAAAACAAAACCCCATCTGGGCTAGTAAAGAACTAATTTATATGTAATTATTTGGTTCTATGAGTCAGGCTCTTTGTTCATGTAACTTGATGGCGTCTGTCCCTGAGGAGTGCTGATTCCCATGTGTCCTTGACTAGCTTCTTTGAGGTTTCCAAATAGGTAAGAGGTAAAATGTCAGCAACCTGTGGACTGACCCCAGGGAATAAACCAGAGGCGGTGAAGTTTAATGACCACAGCCCTGTTCATCCCAACTGAGGAATTA